CTCGAGGAGGAAGGGGAAGTGTGTGGGCACTGATTAGATTCAGAGCTTGCCTCTTTCTCACAAAAAGACCTTTTTTTTGGCTGATGACTTAAGAGGTACTATTTATATGGGTTCCAAGAAATCCTAACTCATTGGGCTCTAGGTTCCTTGGGCTCTTCTCATACTAATAACCCATTTGGGCTTTAGTAAAAGAGCAAACCCAACAGTTCCAACGTGTCGAAATATGATATTTTTTAAAATTAATGTGTCGACGTGGCGTGTCGTGTCTTGTGTCCCGTGTCTGTGCATTGTTTGTAACTCACCTTTTAAAAGGGTCGCTCATGTCAACCTTTTCTCCCTCCCAGTTGCAAGTTACAACTTTATGTCAAAGTGACCAAACCCTGAAAAGTAAGTGCACCCATTTCTCCATCGCAGGCCCAAACCAAGCTTTAAGTAAACTTGTTGGCCCGTAATAAATATCTAGCTATCCCAGTCCCTGGGATAATTAAGCGTGAGTGTTTCGGCCAGGGTTTTAAAACTTGGACAAGTTATCATTCGGTTGAGCTATTAGGATATTGGGTGAGTAGTTCAATCGAGTTTAATCAGATTTTAAAATAATAGATAATAAATATTAAATTATTGACATTATGTCCAAAAAAGAAAAGTGGTCTAATGGTAAGTCTTTTTCCCCTCAAACAAAGGGACTAAAGTTTGAATCATATTGCTTGTAAAATGAATATATTTTACACAATTTAACATAAAATCGGTTGAACCCGATCCGAGCTGGGTTTTAGAAATTGGTTCCAGGCATGTGAGTACATGACCAAATATATATATAAGAAAAAAATTTCTCAAACAGCTTGAGATATATTTATCTATGTTCATCCAAAAATTGATTCCCTTTTTCTGTCTATGCTTTTGTTACCATTAATCCATCTTTTGTACGGTTATGATTTAGTAGTCAAAGATAAAGTTATCTCAAACAACTTGAGAAACAATAAGCTCATATATATATATATATGGTTAAAACTAATATTATGTTGTAGGAAAGTTCTTAGGTCATGTCATAGAGACAAGAGATTGTGGGGTCCACTATTTTTAAAAATAAAAGAAAAGTTAAAGAAATGATGGGCCCACTTTTATGTTTGTGTAGGAAGATTGCTTGTGTCATGTAAAAGGAGGAAAACATTACCCTATATATATATTATAAATAAGAACTGAACACATAACCTAATATAAATCACTCAAGCACCTTACTATCAGACGAAATTAGTGGCTTAACCAAATCTATATTTTAAAAAAGGAGAAAGGCTAGCACTACATTTTTAGGTATTTATCATTAAATGAAAACCCAAAATTGCTACATCAAGTAACTTAATGTTATTTTTTATTAGTGGAATCAATGTGAAATCTCACCTACTAATAAAAAATTATTATAAATATTTTTTTTTTAAATATTGCCTGCATTTCTATCTTAAATAAATATACATAAGCATCATATTCATAACTAGGCACGTCTATATCCATAACGTTTATTGAAAAGGTGGAAGGAAACAAGTGGGCTTCTAAAGAATTGCGAGCTATGATTCACATGGACGAATGCTGAGGTAGCCAGCTATCATTTTTAGATTCAGTGAATTTTTTATGGGAAAAACACTTATTTAGGAAAAGTGCTTTCTCATGCGCCTGATTAAAAAAAAAAATTTGTTTTTTTTTTAAAAAAAAAAAAAGTCATGGTCAGTCCCATTATGTTTTTGCGTACGAGGGAGATGGAAAAATCGTCCAGTCACATCAGAGATTCAAAACCTATTTTTTATTTTATTTTTTTATTATCTGTTATTCGAATTGGAATTGAGTAGGATTATATAGTCTGCAAAACTCTTTCTACTAAATTTTAACACAATTATGTTTTTAATGACTCAAACTCGAAATCATTGATTAAATTAAAATAGCCTCTTATCAATTCATTTACATGATTGGTGGTAATTCACTTAATAACATAGCTTGAAGTAATGCGTCTAACCTATGTCTTGACTTGGAGCAAATATATAGTGGTCTCGGCTCATGTGAGCCGTCCATGGAGAAAAGGGAGGAGAGAGGAGAGAAAGAAAGAGAGAGAAAAGGATCAGGGAATTAATTTCCCTTGACTTGACATGAACACAACACCCTACATTACACACACTCTTAACACACACACCCCACACCACTAAGTTAACCCTAGTGGTGCTACTTGACAACTCTAAGGACTTGTTTGGAGCACTTGATAAAGAAGAAAGAATGAGATAACTTATCATATTCTACTTTTATCTCTTGTTTGGTAGGTCAATAGGATATGATTAGCTTATCCTATTGTCTCATTTTATCCTATCCAATACATGATTTCTTATCCGATGGGGGGAGCTGGGTTAAGATTCAACATGATAGGATACCAATATTGAATACTCAATATATCTCCAAACTATCCAATATATCTCCACGCTACTCAATATATTTGTATTTATTGAATACCCTTGACTTCACCAAAAAGAAAGAGAGAGAAAAGGATCAAGGGAATTAATTTCCCTTGACTTGACATCCTCATTTGACTTGACAACTCTAAAAGCAATTAGGAGTGAAAGGAAAAGAAATTAAAAAAAAAAAATGGAAGATAAATGTGCTTTGACATTTTATTCATGTGTTTATGGATCATATCATACTAGGCAAATTGGAAAGCAAAACTTTTCAAAAGAAGGAGAAAAATGAATATGATCATTGTGCTTACCTTTCATCAACAGCGTTCTCTAGGAATCGGTTTATATCGGATCAAATTGGTTGTTCTTTTCACAATTGTGCCATTATTTGAGCATGAAGAATGAATTGAATTGCAGCTCTCACCACTGAATAGGAAAGATGAAAGAAAATTAAATAAAATTTATGCAACGTGATAATGACTTTGCATATTTGATTATTGAGAAAATCACATGCAGAAAAGTTTTTAATTCTTAGAAGAGCAATTGATGGGAGAGAAGATATTTTTTTATTTTTAGTAAACGATCTTTTTAATGGTTGATATATGCTTAATATAATCATTATTATCCAAAATACTTACGACAATATAACTACATCAAGCCATCAACCCTATGGATGTATGGCTCAAAAAGTGAAATCACTCATTATAATTCCAAAAATCAAAAATAAATTACTTTAAAAAATCAATAATCTTAATATATATTATATAATAAAAAAATGTAATTAGTTATAGTTGAATATAGGATAAAATCCTCATAATTAAAGAGCCACATGTATGAAAATCAATCATTTTAATATAGTAGAACATAAATATAATTAATGTGTTACGTGTATGAAAAAAAATACAAAAAAGGGAAATAAAAAATTAGTTAAAAGAAATAATTGATTTTCCCAATGAGAAGAAAAACAACAATCGTAAACATTGCGTTAATCATTTTAAAGTTGGCTTATAGGTGCTTTCTTCTCTTCTACCAAAAATAATTAATATATTATTCTGAAAAATCCTACACTGTGATTTTTTTCCATTCCAAATACAGTTGTTACAATTGAGCATTTGCCACAAAATTGTTATAGCTTTTGCCTCCAAAATCACAAATTGTAACATTGTTTTTCCTTTTCAATATTAACAAAATGATTTGTTTTGTTTTCTACAAGGAATTCATTAACTCAAAAGTTCGTGCTTCTCACGATTGTTGTTCTTTGTTATTTTAATGTTACTTTACAAAAGTTGTTGAATAACACTTAATAGTATCTATAAAAAAAGGCTGAAGGTTTTATCTTAAGACTTATCACATGACCTTCTCTTATAATTAAATTCAAACTAAAAACTTAACTGAATCATGATTCAATTAGTTTAAGTGAACAAAATAGTTGGATTTTTAAAACATTACTAATAATGGAGCTCCGTTGTCAAAAGAAAAATGAAAATAGAAGGCTGCCAAAAGAATAATAAGGATAAAAAATAATAAGGGTGTGCATGACAACTTCCAATTTTTTTTAAAAAAAAACCGATTTATTTTTAAAAAAATCAATTTATTTTCCTTATCTAGAGAATGAACCCACTAAAAAGAATTGGTTTAACTGATACATGTTTTATTCGACTTAAGCAAGGTCTTAAGTTCAAGTCATTGTGAATGCAAAAAATTCTCTTTGGGAGAGCTAGCCCCATCATGAACCTGCCTCAAAACAGAATTGTCTTCCGTAAAGAATACGATTTATAAAAAATAAAATAAACAAACCCGTAACTTAAGAACACAAATTAAAAAAAGTTAAAAATACATATTCTCTTATGTGAGGATTGAAATCTCTCAATGGAAATAAAAATATATTAAAAAAAATGAAATAAAAATAAATATATTATGTTTTTTTTCCCAAAAATTCTTCTATAAAATAAAATAAAATTATTTTTCTCCTTAAAAGAAGCAATATAACATAACGGTGCTAGAGAATATAATAATTGTCATATGCATACACCAAGTCAAAAACTTCATCAAGGATAGTTCAAAGGCATTGTTTAAGTCACAAAAACTTCATCATGGAAATATATACCTTTTTGTAAGCTTCAAGGAAAACTTAGCACATGTGTTTATGTGACGTTACTACGCCAAAACCACATGCCAGTGATGTCACCGCCAGTTGCGGTAGTTTATTATATATAATTTAACAAAGAGAATGAAGGAACATGTCGATTGGATTTCCAGAAAACGTTTTACTTCTTCAACGTAAGAAAATACATGTGTTACAACATTCATATACAACGTTTATTTGTTTTTGCCTTCATGTCTGGTAGTGTTTTTCTCTTTCTTTCTCTCTTGTCAACTAACTATCTCATCATCCACTATCTCTAAAGCAAAGGTACTTACCCTTATGATCACAATCATTTCTGCTACTAACCAACTTGTTTTTCAATTTGATTTCGATATTTCATGGCGATGCTTTTGCTTTTGGTCAATAGTTACACAGAACAAAGACATATATAGCGTTGTGTTTTGCTCTGCTTCTTAATGCAGAAAATGAAGCCACCTGGTCGTGTAAGCTACTCTTTCCTTCATTCATATATTATATGATATACATTTTTATTTGTGTTATTACCATTGATTCAATTCTCGTTTATCTATAATGTTTATGTGAGACACTAGTTGAAGCTGAAGCCTTTATCTAAAAGGGTCTTTTTTTTCTTAAGTAACCATGCTGTTTCTTTTCGTTTTCCTTTTAATTTTTTTCAGGACTATAAATTGTTATGTGGCCATGAAAATGGCAGGGTTGGAGAGATTTGAAATATTGCAATGTTTCCGTATGTTTTACTTCTTCATCTAATCTTACCCTCTTTATCTTGTGTTACCAGGAATTTCTGGCTGCTGATCCAAGGTGCAAAAAATCTTGCCTTTGTGGCATCTTGGCTGTAGCTTCTTTACTTTGTGCTATTTTGCTTTTCACGAGTTCATTCTTTGCAGAACGCTACAACCAGGTATATAAATAAATCCTTACCTCAGGATAAACAAGTGAAATGGTTTTCTCTGCTTGGTGTTGTTTTAAGGTTACTATTCATATGCCAACTGGGGTTGACCCTAATGGTTGATTTTCCGCTCATTAAAAATGCATAACTTGTACAGCTGGTTCGAATTCTTGTCGAGATTGGTGGTTTTACTTTGACTTGGACTTTAAATGTTGGGATTGGCCACTCCTAGTATTGAAATATTAGGATGTCTATTTGTAGATCAAATAATCAATTGGATTTGACTTTGATGAAGTAGGGATAGGATAACGTAAAAGAACCAATTCAATCCAAAAAATTTAAGCTTTTGGATGAGGCTACGTTAATGGTTTTATATATATCAACATGCCCCCTCACATGAGAGCCCATTTGACTTGAAGGGTAGACGATGCACAGGCCCACCTACCTGTGCATAGAAAGAAATTCCACTAGAAAGAATGTGAGAGCGGTGAGGATCGAACCCGGTACACCAGACCATGTAAAAAAATCAATTCAACCCAAAAGTTTAAGCTTTTGGGTGAGGCTACATTAATGGTTTTATATATCTCAAGAGATACATATTCTTCCAAATTCTGATCATGTGGAATAACCCTTTTGGTTTCATGCTACAGAAACTATCAAGATGGAGAGTGAACTTCCAGAATTTGGGAATTGATAAATGCAAGGTTCATTCTCTTGCTGTGTATGCCTTCCTGCACCAGACTAGATGCATGTACATTACATAATATTTTAGATGAGTCATTCATTATCTACTATTTCAGATGTTCAACTTTGACGCTTATATTTGTTTGTCTTGTTTAATAGAATCAGTGCAGGCCTACTGGAAGTCAGGCATTACCGGAAGGTATAGTCTCAAATACTTCCAATTTGGAAATGCGACCTTTGTGGGGTCCTCCCATTACTACGAAAGGTCATTCCACAATAGATGTGAGTTTCATTTAGTCTGTTATGTGACCTATCAAGATCATATTATTAGGGTCATTCATTTTCTCCTCAGTGAAAGGAAATTTTGTTAGTACTTAGTAGTTGGCTTATTAAAATCGATTCAGATACCCCTCTACTTTCACAAGTCGGGGAATCTTGTGCACCAGGATTTGCCCTTTATTTATATTGTGTTGTGTTTAATGCGGGGAAAGATTACATATTTACATGTTCAGATTTAGTGAGCCTTGAAATAACTTTTTACAATTTTCTACTCTCCTTGTAGATTTTTTAGTGTGAAGTTATTGATTTAGGAAAAGTAGTCTCTTTAACAGAGTTCAGCTTCATTTGCATGCTTTTGATGCTATTCTTCTCCTAGTTATTTTTCTTTGCTTCTGAGTACGTATTGACTTGGAGACATTTGAACAGATTAAGGCAAATGCATCAGCCAATTTGTTTGCAATGGCAGTGGGGATAACACAGAAAGATCTTGTGAACAAGATGGTCAAAAAGGTCCTTCAATTGAATTTTGTACAGATTGCTCATTGCTACTATTCTATTTTGAAGTTTATTGACTCTTTCTACACCAAATTGCAGTTTCTAGCAAGTGATTTCGTTGTGATGCTCTTCCACTATGATGGTATTGTTGATGGATGGAAGGATTTTGAATGGAGTAATCATGTCATTCATGTGTCTGCAATCAATCAAAGTAAATGGTATGTGACCATACGCTTCATTACCATCAATAATTTAAAGAATTTCAGTTATCCTTTAAGTGGTTTTTTCTTGGACATGTTTTCAATGACTAGGTGGTTTGCCAAGCGTTTCTTACACCCTGACATAGTTGCAGAATATGACTATATTTTCCTTTGGGATGAGGATCTTGGAGTTGAAAATTTCCACCCTGATAAGTATGTTCAATTTATTCTGTAAACAGTGGACCATAATCTTAAGGATTAGTGGTTGATATTTTCTGGTTCAATGATTTTAGGTATGTTTCTATTATAAAAAGTGAAGGGTTGGAGATATCTCAACCAGCACTTGATCGTGACAAATCGGAGATGCATCATCAGATTACCGTACGTCAGAGGAGATCACAAGTGCACAGGTTGTCAATAATGATTTTGTTTTTATTGTAAGAAACATTTTTATCTTTAATTTTTTGTCTCAGCGCACAGCATCTACAATTAACTATAAAAACCACTAAAAATCACTCCTCGTTAAATCTGACTAGCGAGTGTGGGGTGGAGGAAATCCTCGTACGCAGTCTTATCCTTGCATAATTACAAAAAGATTGTTTACTGGATTCGAACTCATGACTTTTCAGTCATTTACCTTTCAGTCATAGAGTAACAGTTCTACAATTAACTATATAGAACACAAATAGTTTCAACTTTATGAGGGATGGCTGGTTCCTATTATCTCATTGGTTAGACAATGGGTTACCAATTACCATCAACACAACAAACAGAATGCAATATGTATTTGTAGGCTATAGCTTTTTATTTTTGTTCTTGTAGTTAAGGCATTTAGTAGTTTGGTTACTTAATAACCAAATTTCTGAGTTCAAATTTCCCCAACCTGTGGTAATGAACTTTCATTGACAAACCATATGAATAAGCTTAAAAGTGGATACTTACTCGTGTCTATGTATATTGTGTATGTTTTTTGGTCATTGTGGGATCAGAAGGATTTACAAACCCCGTGGTAGTGGTAAAGGCTGTGATGAAAGTAGCACTGCTCCTCCTTGCACAGGGTAAAAGTTTCTTGTGGTAACTGCTAATTTAATGTGTATTCACTTTATATATTACTTTAAAGAAAGTTAACTATTTGTTTTAGATGGGTAGAAATGATGGCTCCTGTTTTCTCGAGAGATTCCTGGCGTTGCGTTTGGTATTTGATCCAGGTGCACCATTCTGTTATGTTAATGCTGGTGCCGCTTCTTCTTTAGCAAAAGGTTACATATTCATTCATCATTTATGGTTTATTTTACAGAATGACTTGATCCATGCATGGGGTCTAGATATGCAGCTTGGCTACTGTGCTCAGGCAAGTTAAGCTTGTTATTTTTTGGTTCAATTTGATGATTCCCTATTCTCTATATGTTGAATATTCCCCCTCTGACATTCTCTTATTTCTTTTACTTTTACCTTTACTTGATGGAAATTAAAATGTAAGTAATGCATGTCATGTTCCTTAAGAATAAATTAAGTGGAACTATATGAAAAAAAAATTCATTGTTATTATTACTTTTCCTGCTTAGTTTATAATAGAAGTCCTTTTTGCTTTTGGGCTTCCATAACAAGTGACCTTGTTTAGGGTGATCGAACAAAAAATGTTGGTGTGGTGGATGCTGAATACATAGTCCACTACGGTCATCCTACTCTTGGAGGCATAGATGAGACTGAGGTAAAAAATATGGGATGACATCTTTATACTTCGCACAAATGATTGTCCTCTTTAGTTTGCAAAGTTATAATTCGTAGTATGATTCATATCTGGACTATGTGCCTCTAATTCTCTCTGCCCTGAAACTGAAATTATCTTTGACTTGCAGGGATCATCTCACGCAAAGGATCATAGAGTTGATGTAAGTTACAGTCTTAGTCTTTCAACCGAAACCATTGGCACACTGTTTAAATTTTATAAGGACTTCAAAAGAGTAATCAGAAAAATATTATTATAATTGTGTATTAATCTGATACAAAGAGGTCTCTATTTATAAAGACTAAAAAACTTAATTCTTGACCTAATGGGCTTGGCCCAATACAACAAATACTAATAATAATAAAAGACCTAATATTTACAACACTCTCCCTCAAACTGAGGAATAAATATTTATCATTCACAGCTTGTTAGTAAGTTCTTGAAATCTGTCTGAAGGAAGTCTCTTTGTCAATAGATCAGCTAATTGACGCCCAGTGAGAATGTATGGAGTGGTAATCAACCCGCTACAAGTTTCTCTTTGATGAAATGATGGTCGACCTCAGTATGTTTAGTCCGATCATGTTGAACCGGATTATAAGCTATACAAATAGCGGACTTACTGTCACATAGCAGCTTCATAGGTCCCTCACATTTGATTTTGAGATCATCAAGTATAATTTTCAGCCACAGTAACTCACAAATGCCTTGAGTCATAGCTCGAAATTCAGCTTCTGCACTTGACCTGACAACCACATCTTGTTTCGTACTTCTCCATGTCACTAAGTTACCGCAAAGAAACATGCAATAACCAGTGGTAGATGATACCAACTTGAAAAGAGTAATCAGAAAAATATTATTATAATTGTGTATTAATCTGATACAAAGAGGTCTCTATTTATAGAGACTAAAAAACCTAATTCTTGATCTAATGGGCTTGGCCCAATACAACAAATACTAATAATAATAAAAGACCTAATATTTACAACATAAGGGAATGGTTATATTTACTATTATTTTAGTTTTACTACTCTTACTACCTGATTAGTTACAATTGAATCAATTTGAAATCAATGGTAATTAATTCTTTCCATTTTTCAACTGATAATTTCAAATTAATCTAACGGTAACTAATCAGTTAGTAAAACTAATAAAACTAAAATAATAGTAAGTATAATCTTTTCCGTAGCACTTTTTTTTTTTCTGTCCAAAATTACTCATCCACTTGGATTCAGAATCCATTTTCTTTGAATAATGCTTATGGAGTAGCTTGTGCTAGGTTGTTTGATAGGAAAGAAAAACATATTTTAATTTAGTTGTTTTGTTCTTTAGCCCCATGCAAATCTCTAGAGAGATGGAAAACGATGGGTTTGGTACATTGAATTGAAATCTTTTATATAGGTACTTGTCACCTTCAATGACAGTCACCTCTTATCTTCTTTTGCAAATTGCTTTTCCATTTAGCTCAGATGATCATTTGTTCACCTCCATAAGTAAATTTCTATTTATCACGTATATATCAGATTTCCTTAATGAGGAAACTTTTATGCCAAACAAATAATATGTAGTCCATATCTAAATGATGCTGTTGTTGTCACTAATATAATATTTTGGATATGGTGCAGGTGAGAAGACGTTCTTACCACGAGTTAGAAGTTTTTAGAAAACGATGGCAAAAAGCAGTTGAGGAGGATGAATGTTGGGTTGATCCATTTCAATAGCCAGTGCAAGAATTCAACTGATAGTTCAAGTTTTGTGTAGTTTTCCTAAAAATACACATCATTTATGTAAAGAGAAGCAAACCCAATTAGCAGCTAGAGCAAGTGTTGATCGTGGGAAGTGATTGAAAAAAGCTTACTACATTTTTTTTTTTGCATCTCAAAGGGCAACATGAGTTCCCGGGGAAAAGTTTTTTCTTAATTAAGCTTTGTGCATCTTGTTTAACCTTTCCTTTTTCACCTTTTCCTAAGGGAATGGTTTATTCTGTCCTTTAGTAAAATGTAAAGTGTTCTCCCATACCTTAATTGAATTTCCTATTACTTTTGTTTCACATTCAACATTAAGTCTATGGACGGATCCTAAACCATGTATGCATTGACATTCAGTGAAAGTTAATTATCCCTCAATTTGTGGTTCCAAGAAATGAATATCTAAATGATCAATATGCGAGGATAGTAAATGTAGACGGTATGGTCGTAGTCCTAACGATAGAATAGTAAATGTAGATAGTATGGTCCTATTTAAACTAGGACTGGGTGAAGGAGGCACACTTGAGTCACATGGTAAGAAGGATATTCGTAAGAATCTCTGTAGCTTTTTGTGCTGTTTTGTCTCTTACCACTTCGTCGACCCTTGAGACATTCATAAGTTTTGGGACACAACGTACAAAACCACAACAGCAAGGTGATATATGCATTTTATGCACTATATAATATATCAATTTAAATGAACCAACCAATAGTGGTAATGGATTTATGTATATGACTACATGGTGATCCAAATAGTTGCAGTTTTTAAAGTTTCCACAAGCTAAAGAAAATATGTCTGCAGCAAAATAGAAATACCAATATGGTGACATATTGACTTACCAATCAGAATACATGGATGGAACAAACAATCTAGCTCATTAAAAATAAATAAATAAATAAAATTAAGGCAGAATAATGAAACAGCCACTACCCTTCACATTTTATCCTTAAAATATGCTTTGAACAGCACATGGGTTGTAGCCAAGATGAGGTCAGAAAGATTCCCAAACAATGTTTTCAAGACACCAGATTCAGATGCAAGTCCAAAGCTTACAGCCGTACTACTCATCCTTACAACTTTAACAATGCTGATAAATATTCATGCTTTATAAGCATAACAGAAGTATTAGTATTAGTATTAGTATTATACAACACTTTAGAAAAGAAAGAATGAACCAACAACTTTGTGTTGACAAATGGGAGTCAATTTTGTAGCAAAGAGCAATGAACCAACAACTTACAAATACAGCAGGTTTGTAGCTAAGGCTTAATTGCCTTACTCCCACCCAACTACCACCCACTTTTAACTTTTATATATATATATATATATATATATATATATATACACGGTTGGGTACACCAATATGCATTAATATCATCACATCTATCTTCTCCATCAACAATTAAAACCCATCAACACAGAAGCTTTTAGCCAAAAATAGCGCTCTTCAGTCCCCTCTATCAAAGGTAAGTAAAAAGCTAACCATCTGCCCCTCTTTTGTTTCCCTCTAAGGGTTGCCCATTTATCAATTCTGGGACCACCCAAATCAATATGCATGACACAGATCCCTTTTCATATAGTGTGGGGGCTAAATGACACCATTTTACTTTGATTACAAGTTTGGTTAAAAACTTCCATTTGTTGCATCAAACTAGAGTAGTAAAGATACAAATTCACAGACCAGTAATATGCGTTTATGATTATCAAGATAATAACTTTTTATTTATCAGGTAACAAGCATTTCTAATCTAAGCCAAAGAAACCATGAATGCTAGTTTATGCCACAAGAGAAAACAGATGCTTGGGGAAAGTGAAGGTAATTGCAGGATGAAGAGTGGATTTAGTGGAAGCAGCAAAATATTAGTACATAGGAGAAATCACCATATAATATTCAATTAAAAAATCCACAAGTAGAACAGCTCATTGTTAAAATAAACAAATTAAATAATTAAAGGAAGAAACCCACAAGTCCTCTTAACAAAATGAGCATAAGTTGTAAAGTTTCATCTTAGTCTTAGCCAAACGACAGCCTCACTGAGCACTAGCATTACTATATTCATTCAAAAAAGTTAAAAATTATCATCAACCCCAATATCTCCACTTAAAGGGACAAACTTTCTTGATTCCTGATGTACTCCATATACTATATCATATATTGATATTCTCACAATCAGACAATGTGCTATCTCCAGGCACCCCTAACAAATCCCAGTAAGAACTGCATAAAGAAAAAAAAAATTCCTGGAAATAACAATCCCTGGATAATAATAATGATGATAATGATAATTAATAAACAAACAAATCTAAGAACAGATATTCTTCACTTCTCATTCACACTTGGAACGGAACTAATTAAAGATAACCCTAAATTTCAATTATTCTTATAAAATTATAATAAGGGAGCAAGGAAGAGGGAATCAAAGATGGCATCCAAAGCAATTACAGGTCTTGGGGGTGAATGAACAGAAACCGAAAGGTCTATTGGGAATGTTGCAATTGATGGCATAGCAACATGGAGAGGGCAAGCAGACCCCTTTTGCTCCACCACAGCAAGTGCACAGAGCACATATCTGGAAGCTTCCAAGCTTCCTTCTGCTCTCATTCATCACCATCATCATCTCCATCTTCCCATCCTCCATCACAGGCACCATTGGAACTGACCCATTTGCCTCCTACCTCATAAAAGAACATTCTTTTTTAAATTCACAGTACTACCCATGAGAAAAATTCACAAGAAACTTTACTAGGGAAAAAAAAAAAAAAAGTAGCTAGATCAATTAATTGAATTCAAAAAGGTAGACTTAGATTTTGTGTGTGTGAGAGAGAGAGAAGAAAGAATACTCACATGGAACAAGCTCGCCTCATTGGCTAAAATGGACAAAAGAATGAGAGAGATGATGAGGCCATGAGCAGGCATCATGGTTAGTTTGGTCACTGACAAAGTACTGTTTACTCTTAGGTTTGTGTTTGGAAAGGGGCTGTTAATCTAGCTTCAAATTGGTGTATCATAAATGTGTTGTTTGGTGCCTATTTATGCAACAATATTTGAGCTTTGGCTTGGTAAGGTTGTAGATGGAGTTATAGTAAACCAAACTAACAGAAGAAGAACTAGATTTGCAGATTGCACAAGTAAAGGAAGGAGTAGAAACTAAGAAGACAAGGCAAAATGAATTATGAGTTGGAAGAGAGTGTTATAACAAAGAAGAACAAGTACAACAAGAACAAGGGTTTCCCTTTATCTCTAGAGGTAAAGAGAAAAAGGAGAAGAGAGAGAAAACTAAGACATTTGATTGAGAAAATCAAACTCTTTCTCTCTCTCTCTTTGTCCATCAAAGTCAAGTATAAAAAGTAATTAGTGCTGTGTTCAACCCAAATGTGTGAATGTCTGTCAACCAAATAAATGCACAAAATTAACAAACAAACAAAAAAATGTAGTAAAAATACAACTATACAAGTACTGTAAGAAAGAAAGAAAATTAGTGTGGACCTCATTATTGTGTGTTCATGTGAACACAAGCACTACATGTAGCAGATGAGTCTTCACATTTTCTCTCATAATAGATGCAAGTTGGCACTCACATACAAGCTTATGTTTTGGAAAAGACACGATTATAAGATATTTATTATTGGACGGGTATAAAACGCGTGAAGCAAGATAGATTTTCTGCTTCTATTCTTTCTTTCTTTTCTTTTTTTTTAAATAAATACTCTTTTTGGTATACGACAAAAAAGAAATTTATTTTAATTTCTTAAAAACAAAAATACTCATATTAGTTCTTTTTAAAAGACTAACATAAATATTATTTGAATTTTAAAAAAATCACAATTTTAAAGCACTGAAATTTTATAAGAACCACAAATCAATTTTTTTTTTCTCAAAAATTAATTTGGACCCCGTATTTTTTCTTGAGTATAAAAAAAAAAAGTATTTACGCTTTTTGTTACTAGGATAAAATAAAGATAGATTATATGCTGGATACTTGGTATACAAATTTCGAAATCGACTTGCATAAGATAATATTATTCGGGGAAAAATCATATTACAAATTTTTTGTTTATAAATTTAATTATGTATTTTAGAGAATATAATTATACAAACACTTAAGTGTGTATTTTTAGAAATAAATATTTGAGTTTGTAAGAGTTTATAAATAAAAAATTTATAAATATAACTCTTCTTATATTATTTATCATTATAATAGAGAATATAGTCTTCGTTTCTTACAAACAAAAAAGATTATGATCTAAATTCTTAAAAAAAAAAAAAAGATCATGCTCTAACAGCATGAATAAATAATTTAGAATCATTTTTAAGTTGAAATTAGCTTTAGAATAATGGATTTTATATTTATGAATATGTATTTATTTTTTTGAAAAAATAGTAATATAAAATTACTTTTAAAATATAAAACAAATCAGAAAATATAAAAATTAATTAATAGTTCTATTCAAATACTAATATTTAAGACTAATTTTGTAGATCAATCTCTTGGTCCTAAGAATGCTTAATTTGTTTCGTTTTGTACTTATTTTTCAAGTTTTTTACTTTGTGTACGATTTTCTTTTATAAATCTCTGGTTAAAATAAATGATCGATCCATATAAATTCTATTCTTCTGTATTTTGAATTTTATAATTTTTTTTTTTTGCAAATTAGTCGTCATTATAGATACAATTATTTACAAAATGATCTGTGTCATAAGTCCCTTTATAGCTCTTAGTATAAGAAGAAAATTAATAAAAAAAAAATGAAAGAGGAACTAATTTAAGAGCATAGGAAAACATTTACCCCAAAAAAAAAAGAGCATAGTAAAACTAAGGACATAAAATAACATCAAAGCGCCCACCCATATCATACAGGGTTGTTTACTTGTTTTTGGTCCGTTGTAGGTTGAGCCAAAATGTTAAGTATAATTTAAGTTGATAAATTCCAACCCGTCTCTATATAAGTAATAAATTATTCGAATTAGTCTGTATATATATATATTTTTTTATACATGTATGTATTTTTTATTTTATTTGTATAAATACAGTTTAAAAATTTTAATTTTAAAAATTTATTTAATTAATATATATATTAAAAAACTTAAATTAATCTATCTAAAAGAATCAAAATTAACTATTATTTAAATAAATTACTTTATTTAACGAAAAAAATAAAATAAATTATTTTATACTAATTTTTATTTTAAAATAACAATTAAATAAATTCTAAAAAACTAATAGTTATGGTCATTAATTCTAAAATTTTCGGCTGGTAAGTTAATCAGCTTAAGCCATACCGACTTAAGCAAAAACAAGAGTAACCAAAAAAAAAATTTGCTTTATTTGTTTCCAATCAGTTCTTTTGGCAATCCAATTAATCCAATTTGAATACTGTCAAATTATATAAAGAGTAGCTCTCTCAAAATTATTTTTTTCATTTTCAAAATTTGAACTCGAATTCTCTAATTATAAGAACCAAACTCTACAGTTAGTTTTTTATGGAGTTATTAAGCTTACTTGTTGAACTCAACTCAATTTATATCTTTTTTGTTATATAAGTTCAACATAAAATTCCATTTAACACTCCCTTCAACAAAAAATTCCATTTAACCCTCCCAAAAAAGTAATATTAAGTCGAAGCTAGGTGATGGTATGAAGTACTTTAGTAACAATAAGAAAGTGTAGGGACTCGAAGGGGAAAAAAAGAAGAACAACAAAACAAAATATAATTTTTTTTAAAAAAAAAAAAACTAAAACAAATCTTCTTTTAAGTTTTCTGATACCCATTAGGCGTGAGAGTAATTCTTATTAAAAAAAACTGCCTCTCCATATTAGTGCTTTTACATTAATTTGAATTCTTACTTAAATTGTCAATAGCTACGTTTGAAAATTAGTTCTTTCATATTTAGTTTACTGTTGTGTGTGCTTTTGCATAATTTTATTGGAAATGATAGATACAAAGACAAAAAAAATCTAAAAGATCCTCACAAAACACTTTAATGTAATGCAATGATTTTTAAAATTTCTCAACTACTCTTTGATGTATTGTAAAATTATTAATTGCGCATTTATTGTTTATCTAATTTTATATCTTCGAGGTTCAGGTAGATATTGATCACTAACTGTGCCATTCGTTTTTTGCTTTTTAAGTCTTTGTAGTTTGTAGTTCTGGGGCAGTTAAGTGTTAATCAATGAAGCACTCCTAACAAGTCCAATAAATTGTTCTTTTCAGATGTTCAGAAAACTAGCACAGTAAAACACAGATTTGGCTGGCAACACAAGAATGCAAAATACATTATTAGCCCAAGATCGTGACAAATCTCATTACACCGTTCTCTGTGAATAACAACATAAATGAAAGAAGAAAGAATCGACAGAATACCTGCATAAGCTTATTGATAGCAAGTACTAGAATCAGTGAGCAACACATAAAATACATGTATCTTCAGCCACAGAAATCCTGAATCTTATAAGGGGCAGGTTATAATTACAAATTTTTTGTTTATAAATTACATTATGTACTACGAATAGTACATACTCAAGTAGTATGTACTACTCTTACAAACTATACTATGTATTACAAGTAGTATATACTAATATACTATCCGTAGTACATAGTATAGTTTATAAACAAAAAGTTAAGTTTATAAATATAACCCTGCTCATCCTATAAAGCCTCCACAAAAGATTTAAATTCCCAACTATGATTTAGTTGCATGTGAACTGTTAACCAAACTCCAAGTCAAAAAGGACCATCCACCCACCTTTAAGTGAAGCATGTAATTGAGTAATTTGTAGCCTGAACCCTACAAGAACAAGTCACTTTTGCTTTGAGGCTTGAAATCTGCATAACAGCATATAATTAACATGTTGTGCTTCTGCTGCCACTAAAATTCACAGTTTAAACTCTTTACCCTTCAACTTCTGCAAAATGAACTCTATCCAGGACAATCAATCTCTACAAAAAGAATAAATATATCATGGGAAAGTAGAACTAGGAATAAAATTCTAGAACAGTAGCTTTTATTTTGACTTGAAAAAAATATACACGCATAAATAACCAAGACTTCCATGGACTGCTGCTAAATTCTGATAAGAATGTGCAAAAATATGAAAAATAAAAGGATATTGAATCCTAGTGATGGCTTGACGTTGAAATAGACAGCATAAACCCAACTGTTTGAGAAAGAAAAGGCTTTGCAATGAATTTCAAACCTGCACCAAACAAAGATTCACACAGGAGCCAAATATTGATCATTATAAATTTCCAGAAAGATATATTTTACATATTGGGAAAACTTTAAATAGAGTGACTGGCTTAAGGACTGAAAAAGAAACGTTCACATTGGATTTTGACCAAATGTGACAAATATTTGTGAAATTTATACAATTTGGCAGCATGAAAATCCAGACCAACTGAATCTGTCAACTGCATTCAATAGCAGGTTGACTCAATCAAATTGACATGAACTCTGTAGTGTCTGCACATCTCCAGCAATGGGAAAATCAATTTACAGATTGCCCTTTTCTCCCTTTAAAAAAAATTGTAAAAAGAAGATGACCCTTTCCAAGAGATATCATTATCCCTCATCATCAATGTTATCATCACCAGAAGGAATCTGTCTAGTCTCTGATAATGAAAGCCTCCTTGGCTTCGCTGAGGATGTCTCAACAAGTCCTTCTGATGATAAATTTAATGCAGCAGTTCCCGATGAAGAACCCAACAGACGCCGTCCTGGGTCATCAGCTGAAGGTGATACAGATATATTATAGGTGAAGATTCCCATTGGGTGATCAAACTTGCAACTTGGGCCAAATTTGCATATGCCATAACGTGAATAAAAGACACACAAAGGCTCTCCCTGTAGGAAACGGGACACTACCTCTATCAGCTTGTACCAAAACAATTGCATGTTACTTTACAGCATTTCACACATATTTGAAAGAAGGAAATAATAACGAAGTTATACTAGGCACATATTTCGGAAATGATATGCTACATCAAAAAGGATAGGAATCAACTTCAATAACATCAGATATCACAATTTGATTTAGACAATGTAACAAGGAAGAGCATACTTCTAACAACTCAGACTGATTAACATTGTTCTCATCATATCTAATGTCTTCAATTTTACAAAATGCTTCAAACCATTAAGTTTGCTCGGTTACTACTACAATTCTTGTGTGTCCCAATTCAAACATCTGTTAACGCTCATGCATAGTTCAATGATAGGTTTTCCCATGTATTGTGATTTAAACCATTTATGGGATGTTATGCATAGAACTAGGACATGTAAATTAAAAATATTAAAAAATAAAAATAATCTAAAATAAGAATGATTTGGGTCCTTTCATGTTATGAAAACGTTTATTGCACACTGATAGAAACCTGATATTTATGGAACAATGGAGACTAGCTCCTTACAACAGAGGACAATGAATTCCTCTCTAATTCCTCAAAATAGAAAAAGTAAAGATAATCAAGACTTTCAAGAGGTCTGGTTCTCTCCTCCCAATTCCTTCACTCACTAACCTCCTGCCTACTCTTTCCCTCCGTTGCCATATATCTCATGCTGCCACGTAGGATATTAGTTACTCCCCTTGCAAGTCATGCTTAATTGGAAGGAGCTGATCCGTTGCTTCTCATGTAACTTCTTCCAAACATACACCTTCTTAAGTGGGTATCTATCACACACCCAAGTAAAAGTGATAATTTTAAATCATTATAAACAACCTCTTTGCAAAATATGCAAGGGTAAGACTACGACCCTCACAAGCCAGGTTTCGTGGGAAATGGCCTTTTCTTTTTTCTTTTTCTTTTTATGCTTGTTAGTAACTTGTCCTTCTCTTGGAGAAAAACTTCAATACACCGAGACCACCGAACTCGGTGCTCCCTTTTACTAAAAAAGGAAAATAATTCCCTTTTTATCCATGTTTTTTTTTATTTTAGTAAAAGGGAGCACCGAGTTCGGTAGTCCCAGTGCATTGAAGTTTTTCTCCTTCTCTTGATAGTAACTTGTTATTCTGTGTTGATAACTTTCGAAATGTGTTAGTAGCCTAACTTTTAAAACAAGTGATAAAATGTTATCAAAGCACAAAATAAGTTATCAACATAGAACACAAAGAAAAGTTATCACCACTGTCTTCAGTAAAGTGGTGTTAAATATACAACACTACTTTGGCTTACAAATTTCATTGTTGCTCATTTTAGCTCCTAGATTGAGTTTATCATTTTAGGAAATAGATAGTTACAAAACCCAAAATCAGAAGACATACAAGATCCTAAGATTCCTACATAGAGTCCCACAATTGTGTTTTGTCTATCTCTCTACTAAATTCATAGCATCCTGTTAGGAGCTAAATTTTGAGGATAGAAATCTAGATAATAGACAAATGTAAAGTCTAAAGAATAATACAGCAACAAATCAAATAATCCGATAAGAAAAATTAAGAAAACTAATTCTTTTTCCAGGCCGTACTAAACTCAAAAGTCAAAACCTATGAGAACTATAAAGAAGTATAAATTCAGAAACAAAATAATCTAAAAGAAAAATAAACTTGGCATATAGAACTCAATAGCAAGAATTCAACTCACATGACGTAAAGGAAGGCCTATGGGACTCAAAACACAGTCAGGAGCAGGAATCAGCCTCTCACGTGGATGATGGAAACGACAGACTGCACCAAACTTACAATCTCCAGTCTTCATGTAGAATTGGCATTCAGGTTGATCAGGTCTCTCAGGAAATATGTTCTCCCTCTGCAATGCATAGAATCCTACAGGAACAGAGTCAGAACGGAATTGAGAATATGCCCCTTGGGATCCTGCATTTGTTGGTTCACCTTGGCGAGAAGTTCCATAGGTTTGACCACTTCCTGCTACTTGCTGTGAACTGTCTGATCCCATTTGACCCTGGAAAAATGAATATTGTATTAGGATGTTGACACATCTCAGCAATGGCTGAGTTCTAGTAAAATAGTTGAGGACATATCTGCATGTTGCGTTATATTAATAGTTAAAAGGATTGTTCACCATAATGTCATAGAGGCTCTGATACCATACTATAAAACAGCTATTCCGAAAACTTAAGACATTAGGTGAAAGCACGTGAACATGAATAGTTTTATATCAAACAAATGTTTAACTTAAGAAGCACTCTCCACACAAAAGTGTGCCTTATAATCAGCCACAAGCATAGAATATCACATCATTTTATTTCTTCCTTATAACCTTCTCTAAGAAAGAATGGATGAGCTTACATCGTATGTACTCCATCCAGGGACTGAAACCACTCCCTGAGGTAGAATTAAAGGTGCATAACTTGAAGGGCCTTGCCAGCGTGGACTAGGAATATAGGAAGAACTAGACCAATTTGTAATTCCTGCCGCATATGACTGCTGACCGGGTGTAGTTGGAGAATGTATGGTAGGATAAACAGGCGAACCCCGCATTGAAAGCACCATGTTACTTGGTTGAGGATGGTGGAATTTGCAAGTGTTACCAAATTTGCATTGTCCAGTTCTTAAATAATAAGCGCATTCAGGCTCATTCTGCATCAACAAGAAACAAAGAAAATATAGAATTAGACTATTAATATCAACAATCCCACAAAACGTTCAGGTGTCAAATATTAAATAGAAGTATGCAAGGCCACAAAATTTTATAAAACATAAACAGGACAGGAAGAAGCATTATCTGAATTAAAGCTTTTCAGTCTAAAAGTGTTGCGGGCAAGTTAATGATGTTAAAATATTCAATACTAACTTGGCGGAGTGGATAGCCTAAAATATTTAAGGCAACTCTTCCAGCAATCCCAGCCTTGTCTCTAGGATGATGAAACCTGCATGTGGCTCCAAATTTGCAAGTTCCAGTCTTCAGATAATACTGGAAAGTACAAAAAAGGGGGTCAATATTTGTAATATGGTGAATATTTAAATACACAAGTACATATATATACTATGTCATGACCAAAACTAGTTCTTAACACTATAAGGTTGATGTAAACGTCGATATTAACTATAAAGATAATCAACTATATACTCAAATACGCAAATCAAACCAAAACAAACACTTTATAGTTTGATATGAGGTCATTTTCCAGCTCTTTTTCTTCAAAAAAAGAAAAGAAATAAAATAAAATTTAATGCACTTCGATTAATAAAATGCTTAACTGGATTTTAGTCAGATGAAAGCCAAACTGAACTAATTTTAGATAACATAAACTAGTTACCTCAAAATTTAGGTGAAGTCGTGCATACAGAAAGCAAATTCAAATTCTATTAACTTTCCACTCAAGGCCAAAATATACCACATAATCTAAATAAACAATTCAAGAGACGAGTACAGAAAATGGATGGTATGCCTCACACAACTTGGTCATGAGGACCCAAAAAAGTATTAAATCCAAATCCAACTACCCTACACAGATTGCTAAGCCACTACAACGCTTAGCAATCATCCACATGTGTAGCCACATGCCACCTTATGCACGTCTATCCTACTAAGGTAGTTTATGTGGATAATATCTTATTACAAGGAACTATTAAGAAGGCATCATAGGCCTAAAAATAGTATTTATCTAAACACTTTCAAACTAAAGACTTGGTAGACTTCAGTACTTTATTGGGATTGAAGTTATGTAGTCAAATATAGGTATAGTCATTTTTCAAAGGACATATGCTCTCGATATTTTGAAAGAAACTAGATTGCTAGATTGTAAACCCATTATTACTCCTATATATCTGATTGTTAAGCTTCAACCAAATCAAGAAAGAGCTTTATTGAAACCCAGGAAGATATCTTAGATTAGTGGGAAAACTGTTTTATCTCACCATGACCAGGTTGGTGTGTGTCAATTCCTTAACTCTCCATGTGATAGCCACTGGGATACAGTAATTCAGATGTTGAGATAGATCAAGAGCTCTCCAAGAAAGGGATTGATTTATGAAAATAGAGGACATGCAGATATTGTTGAGTATGCAGATGTAGATTGCGTAAGTTCTCCTTGTGACAGAAAATCAACTTCTGGGTATTGACTCCTTATTGGGGGCAACCTCATCTCATGGAAAAACAAGTACCATTATTTAGTTGCGAGGCCAAGCACAGAAGCAAAGTATCTCTTTCAACTAGTGAACTTATATGGTTAAAACAATTACTTTAAAACTTAGGTTTTGTAAGACAAGTCCTATAAAACTTATTTGTTATAACTAAGCTATATTGCACATTGCCTCTAATCCAATCTTCCATGAGGGAACCAGACACATGGAGGTTGGTAGCCATCTTATATGTAAGAAGATTCTTTCTAGGGACATCGCTATTGAATTTGTGAACTCCAATGATCAAATAGCATACATCTTCACCAAATCTCTTTGAGCTCCAAGAATAACTTACATATATAACAAGCTTGATGCATATGACATATATCCACCAGCTTGAGGAGTGTTAGTTATTATAAATAATATCCTTATCTCATATCCCCACAATTTAGGAGTTTCATTTTTCTTTTGGTGGGGTAGGAGTTTCATTTTATTAGGGATTTGAATTGTAATCAGATTTAAACATAAATTCATAAGAGCTGAGAGGAATTCTCTTGGGCATTTCCAAGTATTCTAAAGATTTCAAGTGTCACAATTTTGAAAAATTATAAAATTCCACCATAAAAAGATAAAATTCACAGAGGATGCACATAAACAAGCAATATGCACCTTATGCACTCATTGAGAAACAAGTACATGCCTGACATTCTGGCTGCCCTATCCTTTCTGGGAACTCGCCTTTCATTCGTGCAGTGGCAATAGCCTGATAGTATCCAAAGAAAAGCTTATCAGGTATCTGTTATTTAATTAATAATGTGTGACCAAAAATTAAAAGTACCAACAGTACAGCAAGATAGTTTCAACATTATGCAGCGCAGCAACATGATTTATTTATTTTAATGAGTCAAAACAGGTCAAAGAAATTTACTTGTGAAAAATGCATGTATGGTTACAGGGAAAAAGAAAATTCTAAACACAAATGCAAAATTATATCCTCCCAAGTGTGTGTGCTCATCTTGGTTTGTCTGCTAATTTATGACAGGATCCAGTTGAATATATGGAAAATGAAAGCATTTTTTATGTAAATAAACCAAGCAAAAAGCACATGTTGAAAGAAGAATATAAAAGGACAACGGCAAATAATTTTCAACTGTCTATTGCTTCCATCACCTTGGGAGATTCTATGGTGATAATAGGAGTGCTTTGGAATGAATGAATATAAAAACCTAAGAACCATGTATCAACAATATCTAATACATATATAATAAATTTATAATTACAATATGTCCAAATGTATTGCAGTTCATACCAGCTTCCTGTTAGGGGGATGATTAAATCGACATGTTGCTCCAAATCTACAAAGACCAGTTCTGATGTAATATGAACAATCTGGTTCTCCAGGATGCTCGGGATAAGGTCCTGATTCCATTGTTTCACTTGACCTCAAGTTCATTTGCCACATTGCATCTGAAATAACATGATATGAACAAGTCAGTTTCTCAATAGAGGCATCATCTTAATCCAATTTAATCCTATAAAACAGTGAATGAAGTAATATAGCTATAAAAAATCATCAATTTCACCACATTCTAAATTTAATTAAACAAAGTCTGTGATTCTTCTATTTGTCAATTTAATTATCTTACAGTAATACAAACTTGGATTTACTTTCAAGGACATTCCCTTCTTCAGGTTGATATTTCTGTCCAAACCACACTAAAGCCCAAGGCTTTTCAAAAGCTGCCATACTCTATACTGTACGTTCTTTTTTAAAAAAAAAAAAATAGGGAAAAAGGTTCAAACTTTAAAATATTCATGGATAAAAAAGTTGAAAAAGTTTCCATAAATTGCACCTTGATCAATGATTATTAAAGTGTTAAATAAAAACAATTTATCATGAGACTACTAGACAGTATCTAAACCTAAAATTAATTTTAAAAAAAAAAAATACAAAACGAAACAGATTACTAGTTTGAATCAGGAAAGTATATTCAATATTAATTTGAATTTAAGAGAACTATAAGAAGGTTTTTATTAGGGTGATTGTCCAAAAGCAAGCACAAAAAGTAGCTTTGACTGAGATTATTTTATTTCATTTTTTTTTTCCCAGTGAAAAAGCAGTAGAACCAAGTGGCATGGCACGAGCATGAACATTCTCAAGTTTGTATAGTGTGATGGTTGGACTACATAGCAGAGACAGAAACAAGGTGTGAAGTATCTCAGATCTCACAATCACTCGCAGAGGAGCATTTGACAAATCTAGAATTGACCAAAAAATTAAAAATGAAACAGCAGCATCATGAAAACGCACATGATCAGAAAGACATGCTGTGATGAAAAAAGATAATCAAATAGAATTTAGTTATATATATGTGTGTGTGTGTGTGTGTAATATCATCAAGCATAGAAAGAAACGAAGAACAAGAGAAAGGACCTTGAGGAAGGATGGAATCGAATTCCATATAGGCATATCATCACCGTGCTGTCACTCTACACACTCACCACCACCACTCACTTACTTAAGCTATGTCTGTCTCCTCCTATGACTGTGTCTGTGTTCTGTGTTCTGTGTCTGTGTCTCCACACGATCAAACTTCCACACACCCAACAATAAATAACAACAATAATAATGATAACAATTAAATAATAATAATAATAATAATCAAATAAAACAAAAAGACAACTAAAGAGAGTTAGAGAGAGAGAGAGAGTTTGTGGAAGGAAAGAGAGGTGGCTTTGTATTGTCCACTCCACAAGTGAGAGAACAAGGAATAAAAACCAACCAACCAGAACACACCAATCATCCTGTTACTGTAACTAAAATACTATTTGCTTTATTTTTTTTTCACCCGCGTTTTCCACAACATACGTTCATCCCCCAACGTCATCTCTGCTCGAGTGCTCGCCCTCCTTTTTCCTTTTTTCTTTTCTTTTCTTTTGTTTAATCCATAAATTTTGACTTCTCTCTTTTTTTTTTACTTCAACTTGGCAATATTGTCAATTAAAATAAGCTTTTACGCTCACGTGGTCCAGCACCAGCTGCCTCAACACTTTTCTCAGATTTTTCTAATTAGTTTAAAATTATTTTAATTATAAAATAAAATATTTTCAACGGTTGAGATCATATATAGAAATTAAAAAAAAAAATCACTAACAAAACATAATTGGTAGATATATGGATTCCCTGAGCGTACTAATAGGAATTCGATACATGGTCCTATGTATAAAAAAAACTTTCTTGACCAAGGCAAAATCCACTTCGATAATCTTTGGGTATGGATGACAATCTTTATGGAATCAGTTTTTTTTTTCTCAATTTTTGTTCCTAAGAACAGAAACAGACGGAAATAGTGTTTGACAAAATCTGTTTATTTTTGTTCCCGCCATCACTAGGGGTATAAATGGGCCAGGCTGGCCAAGCCCGGCCTACATTGAGCTCGGTCTAGGTCCGATCTTTCAGAAAAGTAGAGTAGACTTAGGCTTATAAAAAAACTTTTTTAACAAATAGGCCATAGGCCAATTTTGTCAAGCCCGGCCTACAGCCTTGTAGGCTGTCCTATTTAATTTATTAAAATAAAATAATAAAATAATATTTATTTTATGTGACAAAGACGCAAAGTACCAAATACCAATATCTTTTACTTTTTGTGCTATTTTATTTTATGAAAGGAAAACTTGTCTAATGTCTCCAAATTTTATATGCTGTTGCAGCTTAAAACCATGGAGCAATGGGTACCTTGCTGGATTATGATGTTACTGATGAAGATCTTTCAATAATACTCTTTTTTTCCTTGTCTTGATGGTGGTTTAAAGATTTTTAGATAAATGATATTCTCTTGTAGACTTTATTTCAGCATCCAGTAATTGTATTTTTCTTATTTTTCTCATTTTTCTCATTTCTTTGACTCTATTCCTCTATGATATATATTCTAAAGCTGGGGTATTATGTTGACTCTTTCTTGTTTTTCATTTTTTCTTCTTATGAGAACTACTAGTGTATGCATGAATGAAACTTTCTTTGCTCTATACAATTACTTTTTTTGCTTAGTATCTACAATGGGAGGCCTACAAAGCCTGTAGGTCATGTCAGGCTTTCTTATTTTTTAAAATGGGTCTGACTTGGCCTACAAATAAAGTCTTTAATAGGCCAGTAGGCCAAATAAGCTGAATTTTTTTGACGTAGGCTTGGGCCAGGAAGGCCAAAGCCCAGCCCAACCCAGCCCATTTACACCCCTAGTCACCACTATCGCCGCAACCACTGCCGTCATTACCACCACCATTATGTCATCATCACCACGCTACCGCAACCACCACCATATCACCGGCCACCGCTACTATTGTCACCATCACCACTATCACTACCACCGTGTCACTAACATCATCTCCACCACTACTATCTCCATCACCGCTACCGTCACCACTATCACTACCACCATGCCATCATCATCACCACTATCATCGTTGTCACCACTACCACCACACCATATGAGAAGGAAAATGATGATCCGGAAAAAAAATTATGTTTAATAACAATGATTTTTTATTCAATTATTTGTTCTGTTATTAAACGCAATTTTTATTCTCGGAATAAAAATAAAACATGTTATCAAATACATTTTTACTCTCTTTGAAATTATTCCAAGTCACAAAAATAAAAAAATAATTTTTCTTTTTTCAGAAACAATGCCAAAGTACAAAATGCTTGTCATGCATATTCTCTATGTCTTGGGGGAATTAGTCTTCAACTATGAGTCGAGAAATACTTTGACCTATACTAAGAAAAATCAATTTATGACCCGTGAGGCGATAATCACTTAATTATAAAAATTACTAATAAAATATTTATTGATTTTTTAAAAAGATTTTATTATTAGATAAAATCTGACTATCCGTTTATTTGAGTTGATATGGATAATCATGGCCGGTATAATTACTTACTTATAAAGGTTAATAATTAAATATGTATTGAATTTAAAAAAAAATATTACTAGATAAAATCTTATGTTAATTCTACTAATTAATATGAACTAATTTTTTATTAGTGCAATCAGTATAAAATTTTGATTTAATCAATGTACTACGTACCCAGGTTTTATATATGTTCTTCTCTATTCCCCTCTACTCCCATTTTTGTTTTTATATTATCATTTTATTTTATTTTATTGGTGTGGGTATGGTTGAAATTGTTTCCTTTTTAATATTGAATTTTTTTAATAAGAAAATAGGGCATTGGTTGATTAGGGTTGATATTGATAATCATGTGGTGATTGGACATTGGCGCACAAAGGAAAAAAAAAAATACAGGACGAATGGATAATCAAATTGGGAAACATTGGGAAGGAAAAACAAAAACAAAAGAAGTTCATGGAAAACGGCCTGGCCTGCTGCTTTTGCGTGTAGTTGATACGCAAGAAAAAACGCCGATATTATTAATACACAAAATAACAAAATAAAAGGAAATAAAAACAATTAAAGCTATGTAAAAAAAAAAAATTGAACAAAAGGGAAAAACTAATCTCATATTGTGGGAGAGTAACTCACTTTTCTATACATTATCGATTTTAATGTAATATATTGATTATTTTTTATAAGTGAGTGGGCCTTAGTTATGATTGTATTTGTATCTATGAGCCTCACTCATGTTACATAAGATAAA